GTCAATCGTCCCATGGATGTACCGAAGTAACTTCTTGAGCAGGAAACAGTGAACGTTGCTAGGATCATGCATATGTTGGGAAAGAATGTTGACCGCAAACGCAATATCCGGACGAGTAATTGTTAGGTACTGCAATGCTCCTGTTAGCCGTCTATACGTGGAGCTGTCAAACGCCGGAGATTGCTTCACCACCTCGTCTGGTATTCTGGTGCAAGAAGGATTAGCAATTGAGTTGCAAGTGCTAAGATGCACTTGCTGTAATAAGGATTTTGCATAAGAAGTCTGGGAAAGAAAGTACTTAGCTGAATCATTCCTAATTTTAATGCCTAGAAAATGGTGTGCAGGTCCAAGATGCTTGATGAGAAACTTCTGCTTGAGCTGAAACAAGAGACTCTGAATGGCAGCTGAGTCATTTCCAGTAACCAGAATATCGTCCACGTATATTAGAAAATATATGCGAATGTCGGCTTTATTAAACGTGAGCAGTGATTGATCCGCTTTGCTATGTGTAAAGCCGATTTGAAGGAGATGATTGGTGAACGTTGTGAACCACTGTCGCGGTGCTTGTTTGAGACCGTATATGGCTTTTCGTAACAAGCATACATGATTTGGTTGATTTGAATCTTCAAACCCTTTTGGTTGCTTCATGTAAACGGTTTCATCAAGCGTGCCGTGAAGGAATGCGTTGGTCACATCTAATTGTTCAACCTGCCAACCATAAAATAAAGCGATTGTAAAAAGAATTCGAATAGTAGGTAGTTTTGCTACCGGGCTAAAAGTTTCGCTGTAATCCAAGCCTTGTTCTTGTCTGTTTCCTTGCGCCACCAAGCGAGCCTTGTAACGTGCTATCGAGCCATCAGAGTTTAGTTTCGTTCTGTAAGTCCACTTACAGCCTAGGATAAGCACATTTGATGGTGGAGGAACTAAGTCCCAAGTTCCTTGCTGCTGTAGTGCCAGGAACTCGGATGCCATTGCCTGTCTCCAGTGAATACTCTTGTTGGCTTCGTGATACGAAGTCGGGTCTGGAGTGAGAGCAGGCTCAGTTTGCATATGCGCAAAATTGAATTTGCGATTTGGTTTTAAAGACCCTGTTTGAAGGCGAGTAACCATGGGATGTTTGTGTTGATGGAGTTGAGGGGGAGATGCACTTGTTGTTGTGTGGAAATTGTCTGATGTAGGCTGTGCAGACATCACAGGTGGAGTAGAGATGCTTCTCGGTGTTGTACATGAAGTAGTCGGTTGCCCAGATGTTTGAGCAGAAGTTGGTTTCGTCCAGGTTAATGAAGTAGGTAGAAGCAAAGCCGGTGCTACTTCAGGTACCTGTTGATTTCTGATAATATTTGACTGCTGAAACGGAAAAGATTTTTCATTAAACGATACATGTCTAGAGATAGTTATATGGTTAGTGTGTATATTCATGCACTTATAGCCTTTTTGAGTGTCCGAGTAGCCCATAAACATAGTGACAGCGGATTTGGGTTGAAGTTTATGTCTGGTGTGCGACGGTGTTAAAGTGTAACATTCACAGCCGAATGTTCTGAGATGCTCATACGAAGGTTTGGTTTTGAACATCAGCTGCAATGGAGAAACTAAATCTGTGTTAGCAGTAGGAAATCTATTTATAAGATAGGTTGCGGTTAGAGCTGCATCCGCCCAAAACTTATAAGGCATGGAAGCCGTGTGCAGCAATGTTCTCGTTGTTTCGATAATGTGCCTGTGTTTCCTTTCCGCAATACCATTCTGTTCCGGGGTGTATGGACAGGAAATTTGATGGAGAATACCTCTGGATTGAGTGAAGTTTTTAAACTGATTGTTAATGTATTCTCGACCACCATCAGTGCGAATTGCTTTAACTTTTTGGTTCGTTTGACGCTCAATAAAATTGACAAAATCAATGAAAATTTTAGTAACATCAGATTTAAGCTGAATAGGAAAAAGCCAAGTGAACCTAGAAAAATCGTCAATGAAGATTACATAGTAACAAAAACCTTGATGTGAGGGTACCGGTGAAGGTCCCCAGACATCAGAATGAAGAAGTTCCAGAATCTTTCTTTTTCTGTTACTAGAAAGCGGAAAGGAAAGTTTGTGACTTTTGCAAGTCATACAAGAAGAACAGTAAGATTTAAAACTAGGAATATGTAAGGAAGCATTGCTGTTGGAGATGTGCCGAATAACTTGAGTATTCGGATGGCCAAGCCGGTTGTGCCAGTCATTCGCCGAGACAGAGGAAGCCACCAGAGCAGTGTTCTTGTCGCGATGATTTGCGAACGAGAGCCTGTACAACCCGTTATTACTGCTGCCTTGGAGTATCTGCTGATTTGTAATACGATCTTTAAAAATAAAACCATTTGCATCAAAGGTTATAGAAATATTGTTATCTTTGACAAGATGAGAAATGGAAAGTAAATTATGTGATATGGCAGGTATGTGTAAGAGTTTAGAAAGATTAAGCTTACGCGTCGGGGTGGGAAGGATACCCGTGCCCGAGTGAGCTATGGGTAATGTTCTTCCATCCCCGATGGTGACACTGTCCGATCCACTGTATTCTTTCTTGTTAGCCAGATGATCCAAAGAATTCGTCATGTGCGCCGATGCTCCGGAATCAAGATACCAGTCATCATTGGAAAGATCAGTCGTCGACAGCAAGGCGTTGTTGGACTTCTTTGAGTTCACAGACGGGGTAAAATTTGGGTTGAGACGGTGCCAGCAAACATCCGCACTGTGACCCTTCTTTGTGCAAATTTGACAAATCAGTTGAGAGGAACTGCTTGGACGATTCTGCTGATGGCCTGTAGAGCGGCCACGGCCTCGTCGAGATCGGCCCTTGTCCATGTAAAGAGCCGATTGAGAGTCAGGTGTTATCGTATTTCTGGTAGCGTCGGACTTGACATGAATTTCCTCACTGATAAGTAACGCATAAAGATTATCTAAGCTCAGTGACGTCTGCATTGTTCTCACTGCAGTTTTGAAAGAATTGTAGGTTTGCGGAAGTCCGTTCAGGATGTGGTGAAGAACATCTTCAGGATCCATTTTAGCTCCGGCGTAAGCGATTTGATCCACTAGCTTTTTAACCTCTGTAAGGTATTGCGTCATGGTCATCGTATTCATAGAGATATTTTGCAATTCGTTTTTCAGTTGAATGATCTTGGAACGATTCGTCGACTGAAATTGAATTTGCAACGTTTTCCATATTTCCGCAGTAGACTCGAGATGAACGACGTAAGGGAGAATTTCCGGTGAAATCGTCGCGCAGAGCGCCGCAGCTAAATTTTGATCCGTGAGCAGCCATCTTTGATGACGTTGATTTGGATCTTGATTTTCTTTTTCTTGATCGGTGGCTACCATCGATGAAGATGCCGCCGGATCCAGAAAATCTTGAAAGCCATTTGCCCGAAGCAGCTTGTGAACTTGACTGCTCCAGATCGGGTAGTTTCCGGAGGACAGAGGATGCGGGATAAGAGATTTGAGGTTAGAAATGACGAACTTGAGAGACGAGTGTATGAGCGAAATGTCAGATGTGATGCCCGATCGCTCGCCGTTGCTGGAGGAGGAAGAGGCGGAAGCCGAGTTGGCCATGGAAAATCCTCAGGAACACCAGACTCCTGATACAATGTAGAAGCCAAAGAGAAGTAAAGAAGAAGAATGTTGCTAGCTTTTCATTCCAGTAAAAACTACCTTACAACAGAGGACGGTGACAAGTATAAATAGTTTGTACTACTCCTAGTTACACGTGTCATAAGGAGACAGGTTACAAGAAATACATTATTACATTATTTGGTATCTAATACACATATATATTAAAATATCCTGATACATTTTCTTTTCACTAAAAAAAGCTCTATATCAGCTTCAAACTACAGCTTATTTTATATATATATATATATATATATTATAATGTTGGATATTAGTTTAAAGATCCAACTTTTTTTTTTTTAAAGAAGCTAAAAGCAAGCTCAGTATTTGGTCAAGGCTTCCAGCGTCCCGGACGTCCCGCTCGGACCCTCCAGTAAAGTGTATAAAACGTACCAAAGAGCTATCCCGAACACCACACCTACGATTGCCACCAGCAAAGACGGCCGGAACGCGAGCCCCGATCACATCATTGCTCATTGCCTCACTCAGTTGCAGAATGATTAGTAAAGCCGACCAAAACCCGATAAGCAGCAACAAGCAAAACAAAACCAAATCAAAAAAATCTTCTTCTGCGTCTACCTCTCCCCCAAAACTTTCCGCGAGTGTCAATATTAGAGGAACGCACAAGCGCAAAATCATTGTAGTATAAAGATCCAACTAATTATCACTATAGTTTGAAGAAGTCAAATTTGAATTGAGTCCGTATATAGCTATTGAATTATTGAGCTAGCTGTTAAAATTATTAAAGAACATAGTGATTTTCTTTCATTCAAGACAACAATTACAAAATAGGAACATCATTTTAGCAAATGAAATTACGCCAACTCATATTTTAAAAAATAATAATTTTGCAAATTTATTACAAAATATTAAAATTGCCATCTTTAATTACTTGTGATGAAGTCAAAACTAGCACGTGAATAATTGTCACATTCATACTTAAAAGGGAATACACTACGAAGAGAATTAATGGAAGAATTTACAGCAGTGGTTGAAGCCGGATGGCTGAATATATTTCACCAAATTATTATAATTATTTTTCAAACTGTATTCTGTGTTAAGTATATGGTAAAAGAAAATCATTGAAAAATAAAATATATTTTCCATCAATTTATTCAGAATATTTTGTTTCCAACTAATTACTAAAATCAACATATATTCGACATATACCACGTAAATTATTCATTTAAAACAGTAAATAATATTTCTTAATACATTTAGCCAAATTGTCTGTCAGCATTTCAACAATTTCCATGATATAAACATGCAAATGCACTACCCATTAAGTAGCCATCTGCATGAAAAAAAAAAAAAATTACATATGCAATTCATTGTCGTTATGATCAGCTTATCAAATCATCTCCGACCCTTTGTTAATTATTCTAAGTATATATTTATATGCATGTAACTTAATCCAATGCATAAAAAAAAAAAAAAAATTCGGTAAACAATACTCGTTCAATCATGGAGTTCAGTCTGTTTCCACTGTTCTTTAAGCAGATCAAATGGTGGCCGGAACAAGCGGCGAGTGAGGCGACGTCATAAGCCGCGGAGTCATAACCATCTCCTCCTCAAACCTCCTCGGCAAGCTCAATCTCAATCCTTCAGCCAACCTATTCTTCTTCTTCTTGGCCTTCTTCTCCTCCACCTCCTCAATCTCTCCATTCACAAACAACCTTATCCTCCTCAGCGCCCTCTCCGTCGTCTCATCATCCATATTAGCGAAACAAACCCTAAACCAACCTGGTTCAGCGCAATGAAACGATGAACCGGGAGACACATTTAACTTAACCTCATTCACAATAACCCTCCATAGCTCCAGCTCTCCTTCCAGCGTCGCCTTCTTAAGAAGCGACCGCAAATCCATCCAACAGAACAAACCTCCATTCCCTTCCAAACACCGTATCCCGACCCGCCGAAGCCCGTCGGTGAACACCCCATGCCTCTCTTTAAGTCTCCTCGCATTCTCAGCCAAGTAGTTGCTCGTGAACTCCTCATCGGCGAGCATGGAGCCGAGCAGATGCTGCGTCTGCGAGGACACCAGGCCGAAGCTCGACATTTTGCGCGCGCAAGCGACGACCTCATCGTTGTAAGAGTAAATGACGCCGACGCGGAAGCCGGGGAGACCCAGGTCTTTAGACAGGCTATAAACGACGTGGACCAGATCGCGGTCAAATTCGGGGTCGGATTCGACGATTTCGGAGAGGCTGATGAAGTGCGGGGGCTTGAAGACTGTGCCGCTGAAGATCTCGTCGCAGATGAGATGGATGCGTTTGTTGTTGGTGAAGCTCAGGAGGGTGCGAATGGTACGTTCGTCCATTGTTGTGCCGAGAGGATTGGAAGGATTGGTTATCAGAACGCCTTTGACTCTGATGTTTGATTTTTGCGCGTTGAGATAAGCGGCTTCTAAAGCGGATGATGTGATGTTGAAGTTGTTGGAGCTGTGGCAGTGAATGGGAAGCAGACGTGCGCGCGTTCTCCAGCAGAAGTCGCGGTCGAATCTGAGAAGGAATGGGGGGTTAGGAATTTGGACAGAATTATGAGCTGTGTAAGCTCTTCTGATTAAGACGGAATTGACTTGCGAAGTTTATGAGGGGACAGAATTGAGAGATTTCAGGGGCTGTGGTTTTTTCTTGTTTTAGATAACTCTGAGATGAGATTGAGATTCCTAGTTGGTCAATTAACTTGAATAATGCTTTACGTAATTGCAGGCTTGATTATTGGTTAGAGAGTACCTTTAATTCCTTCCACGTAAACTTGATAAATATTTGGCTTGGAAACTTTCAGTTCATATATAATTCTTATGATTTTAATGAAAATATCTTAAATAAATAAGAGAAAAAATTTTATGTTATATATTCCGATACAAAATAGATAATTATGATGAGTATCAAAATCTTTGAATTTGTATTAGAATATTATTAGAAGATTTTTTTTTTTCAATTAGAATTAAAATTTTTAGTTGTTATATATATATTCACAGTATCGTTATAAGTAGAAAAAATTGATTCTTAATATCCTAATTAAAGTTATTATTAGAATCTGCCAAAAGTTATTGGAGTTATTTTGAGAAAAATATAAGATAAGTTTTGATTGATTCATGTATTTAAAAATAAATTTAATAATTTTTAAAATTTATAAAAAAATATTTACTTAATTGTGATACATTCTCCTACTGTTTTTTACAGTCAAATATTTGCCAAAATTATTGTAAGGAAAACGTGCTTATATTAATTTGAGAATTGTCACAAGTTATTTATTTATTTTTTACTTGTGAACTCAGTTCAATAAATTCAGTCATACTGTAACATTATTTATAATTTATTATTTATTTGACTGAAAAATAGTCAAGAATTTGAACATAGCCACATATTTTTAGGTAATTGTGAACTCAAACAAATAAATTTACTTTTAATTCTGCTTAAAAAAAAAGTTAGGCAGAAAATAAAATACTCACGCCGGATAATATGGAACGGGAATGAGAAAAGCATCGCCGGGGTTAGCAAGACAAAACGCAAGGGTCTCTTGAGCACCTGTGGCTCCACCGCTCATCACTATTCGGTCCGGGTCGAACTTGACCCGCCCGCCTCTCACTTTCTCCATTAACTTCGCTACTCCCTGCATGTACACACATTCTTTATCAGTCAAACTAAAGCTCCTCCACCTTCATTTACTTAAAAAAAATAAAAAAAAATTTGTTATGCAGAGAACAGATTATACAAGTAAGCTCCACTCACTTCTCTAAACAATGGAAGGCCATGATAGTCTTGAAAGTTCGCGACAGCTCTGAACTGAGAAATACCCTCCTCTGTGCAAATGGATGCGGCCGCCGGGTTCTTCCTTATCCACTTTTCCATCAAGTCATGGCTTAGCTGTTCAATCAAACCACATATTAATTAGCTAAAAAATACAATTAATATCGAAGCTAACCAGCTTCAACATATATATATCCATGCTAGCTCACCCTGTTCTCAGCCAGACCCATTTGGATTACTCCCTCAGGATTCTCAGTAGGATGATAAGGATCTCTGTCATGAGCCTTCCAACCATCAAAGTAAGACGATTTCTCTCCATGACCGCCATTAGTGGCCACCTTGGAGAGCAGTTGCTCTTCTGATTCTTCAAATCCCATTCTTGTTGAAGGTGAAGATAGCTCGATCGCTAGAAGCTGTTTATTTCAATAGTAGCCTCTATAAGATCGACTTAGAGAGTGGTGAAGGAAGGAGCTGAAGTGTGGGAATATATATACAGAACAATGAGTGGAACAGGCGATCAAAAACGTTCAACGTTCAAAACACCAGAGGAGTTACACGGAAAGTTTAGCACGTGTAGAGGAGCTAGGACCGGATAAAGCCATTGTGGAAGTCCGCCATGGACTTTCTACAAATAGAGGGAATTAGCAGATGATGCCCGAAGGCGACAGAATTTTTAAGGTACATATGGAATTACACGGCTTCGGGAGGGGTTGGAAGCTACGATGAAGGAGATATGAGTAAAACGGCTGAATTGAATTACGGGCGGTGATCGTAGGGTTGATAATTGATATGAAGTGGAGGCTATCGTGCGCGATGACGTAAGAGGGTCGGTGGACTCGGTGATGGGTCCCACGAAGAAAATTTTGCTGAGCTATTTTGACCCTTGTTGTAATTTTTATGAAGAAAATTTTATCTTTCTCATCAAATGTCGATCAATATTAAAATTTATTTTTATATAAGTGCAAATAATCTCAAATTATGCACAATAATGTATTATGTATACTTCAAATCGCTTATGTTGGGCACAAATTAAGACTTTTAGTTAAATTTATTTTATAAAAGACTGTTTTAAAAAATAGTAAGAAAATCATCTCAAACGGAGCAAAATCTTGTCACTTAGTACATGTGAAATCATCTTATATTTAGAAAGATTTTAATTCATATCTCATTTTATTAATGAAGTATACTTAGTATATCTTATTTTTGTATTACAATTTTATAAAGTTATATTTTGTCATTTATATACATATTTTTTAAAATAATTTTATTATAATATTGATTATACTATCACATATAAATAGAGGGACACAAAGTCAAACTTAAGTACACAAAACAATTTATTAGCCTCAAATTCTCTACTTTCCCAATAGAATGTCAGATAATACATTTTTTCTCTTTTGTTTTCCTTCTCTTACTATTTTTAACTTTATGAAATCAACTACTGTTTTTTAAAGTATTTTTTTTTTGTATAAAAATTATTTAATTAAAAATTATGTACTGAAAATTTATTTTTTATACAATAATAAAAAATCATTTTAAATGAAGTCTAAGGCTTGTAGTCCAAAAAAAAAAAACATTAAATTCAATATACTTATCTACTATTATTTTGAAATTTGTGAAATATATTATCAACTAATCAAAATTAAATTTTTTATAATGTCTTAGATCAGAATCAGAACTGAATTTTATTGGGGTCCACCAAAATCTTACAGTCTTAGTTCGTTTATGTTCAATGCCACGTGGAGACCAAAGGAGGAATCACGTTTTCTTATTAGTTTCTTAATTACATCTGTCGGTGTTCGGCTGTTTGCCTGTTTCTGGCAGAGGAAGAAACAAAAATTTAGTTGGCTACTGGCTGTGCTAAACACGGCGCAACAGTGCTATTTTAGGGTTTAAATCCCGCGATGTTTTTCTTATTTAGCTTTAATTAAAAACTTTTATCAAAATATATGACACATTACTTATTTTAAGATTAGTTTTCTTTATTATAAAATTAATTTTGTGGTCAGGATCTTGGAAGGGCTTTGGATGGAAGAAAAAATAACCTAATAATAATTTTTTTAAATATTATTAATTTTTATCCTAAAATAAGTTTCAATATCTCTAAGAGAATTTTTTTAAAAAAATGGCATTTTTTATAAATTTATATGCTTTTCCATAATTTTTTAAAAAAAATTTGCCCTTTCATTCCGATGTGAGAGAAATAAAGTGTACGCTCATTAAATTTTGAAAAAAAATTTACTTGCAATTATATATATGATTAACAGTAATATGAAAATTAGTTTTTTGAAAGTTGTTGTTAATATTGTAAATAAATTTTTTTTAAATTGAATTATTACTTTTCTAAAATTATCACATTTAATAATTCTGGTTGTAGCAAGAAGCTCCCCACTTTAAAAAATTCTAAGAAATTAATGAAAAACATATATAAAATAGAAATGACAATTTTTTAACAAATAGGCCCCTAAGTTTTTATATTTTATAAGATTTTCTTTATTTTAAATTAAAAAATTAATTAATAAATATATGAATTGAATTTATGGTATTTTAGTAATTGTTAGATGTCACAATTATATATATGATTCACTAGGAAATTTATTTTTTTGAAGTTGATTTTAATTAATATTATAAATAATTGCTTAAAAAATGAATCAATATTTTCTTAAAATCATCACATATTAATAACTTTGGTTGTAACAAGAAGCTTCCTACTATAAAATTAAATTCTCTAAAAAATTAATGAAAAATAACAAAAAAATAGCAGTCAAACAGATATATAACTGCATTTTGAAATGTAACATCATGACAAAAACTTTTCAAATAGGCGCCTAAATTTCTATATTTTATAAGATTTTATTATATTAAATTAAATAATAATTAATTCATAAGTTGATTACTGTATTGGAATAGAGTAAAATGAATATGTTGTCAAATGCTTGAACAATTATTCTGTGCGGAATCTGTATGGCTTTTGGAGGCCAAACAGAATGAAACTCGTCACTTTTTACTCAGTATCGATGCTCAATATCACTATGTACCGAGTGACGTGACACAGTTTGATTGATCTCCAGACCGTCCGGTATTCTCATAGAATAATTTCTCCAAATGTTTAGTCATGCCGCCCAAACTCTTTCTAGTTCCGTCAGTTGAGTGCTAACATTCCCTTTCTTTGGTGAGGTGTCCAACGCAAATTTCTTCCACAGAACTCTCTTCGGAAAAGAATTTAATGAATAGCGCTCATTCCTAACGCCCCACCACTGATGTATTACGGCCAACTATTCTCCTCTTTAATATCAAAAGTCTCTAATCTGATAAGTTGACAAATTGTCGCTAATTATATTAAAAAAAAAATCAAAGGTTCATCTAAATATTGATGCGAAGTTATATATATTAAAAAATTGCATCAACTAAAAAAAATATAATTTTTTTAAAATATATATTGAAATTAATGTAATATATATTCATCATCATATATAACAATAGTTTCAATTTGTATCAGAATATCTCAAAAAATATATATATATATATTTTTAATAAAAAGTTCTTCTCTAAGTTCATCCGATGATTCTTTTCAAAAAAAAAAAAAAAAAAATTCAGAACAGTCTGATCAAAATTTTAGTTATGATGCATTTCAAAGCGAGATAAATACATTATTTATATATTAAAAAAAATTCAAAATTTTATTGTGTGGCTAAAAATTTGACTATATTTAAAATGTGTTTTGTAAGAGATAGAATGAATTCACACACATATTACCCAAAGAGTAAGGGGGCTGTGCAGTCCAGCTCTTCGCTGGGTTTCTAACTAACTTGCGACACTTGCTTTAGTCAAGTTGGGTTCAAATTTTCCAACCATTTAAGATTCGTAGGACTTTTGCGCTCCGGTTCAGTTCAAACCCGATTTAGCTAAGTCAACCGAACTCGGCTGAATCATAGAAAAACCATATAGCACATATATCGCGTGTAAAATCTTATGTTTTTTTCGAGCAGTTCTTTCATACTTTTAATTGCTTCTTACGTAACGTGAAGTTGCTGAGGAATATTGTAGAGGCAATGTGTGATAGTTCTGTGCTGCAGTTGAAAGCATGTCTGGTTTATATGAGGAAGGCCAATAATTAGTTACCTCTTGCACGTTTAATTAACGTGTGTTACTATAAAGCAATTAGGAAGATTTTAGATGTTTTAAATCTAGAAAGTTAGTATTAAGATTTGAGTTGAATTTGGTTTATATCAAATTTATGTATGTGCTCGCATTCATACTTCTCTTAAAAAAAAATTACTGTTTGTGAGCCTATCTGAGAAGTTTATGTGAATAGGAAGCTTTGTTAGACTTTTTTTTTTTGTCTTTAATTTGGTTTATATCAAATTTATGTATGTGCTAGCATTCATACTTCTCTTTAACAAAAAAAAAAAAAAAATATTACTGTTTGTGAGCCTATCTTAGAAGTTTATGTGAATAGGAAGCTTTGTTAGACTTTTTTTTTGTCTTTAATTAATGAGATAGTATGTGACCTAATTCAAAATTACAAGCTAAAAACAAGTTAGTTTGTATATTTGTATATGCGTTTTCATGTGTCTGACAGGTACACTATCAAAAATTATTGTATTCGCAGCATTTTATAGAAGCAATTTAAAAACTGCTGCGAAAAACTTTTTTTTCAACAGTTTAAACCGCTGCTATTAAAATATATTATAATCCCAAAATTTATAGCATCAATTTTAACTATCTAAAAAAAAGACTGCTGCGAATATTATTTCATAAACCCACCCATGAAACCTAATTTCCCAATAGTATGTGACCAAATTCAAACTACGTAGTTGGTGGGTCATAGTAGGTAAACTTGTATCTTGTTGACCCGACCACAAGGGGGACTCGCCCAATGGTCGTCGAGACATATCTCAATTGGACACCCAGAGGACAATCGACCCTCATAAGGGTAGTCAAGGGTTCTCACTGACTATATATGCAATTCTTCACTTGCCATCCAATAAGAAATAGCTATTGAAACCACTCCCAGCTATTTATGGTAGACCGTCTCCAACCATGCTCGTCATCTTATTTATAGAAAGGCATTCATTCGAGAGGGTTCGAACTTGCCTATCATGGTCAGTTGTCCTACACGCTCTCATCATACTTTAGTGGCTACTGGAGCTCCACCATAAGTTGTTAACATTGTCCTAAGGACATTTGCCAACTAAGTCCCTCTCTATCTAGCACTCGCTACCATATTCATTCATACCTACTCGCCCTTAAGTACACAACACTACAAGGCTCACCCGTGGGCAGAGAAATGTTGATTAAGAGGAACAATCATCCTTCAAGTCAATCTGGACGAGATAAATGTCTAGGAAAGTATGCATAGAGAGTTTTTATTTTA